CCTTCCTTCCTTCCTTTCTTTCTTTCTTTCTTTCTTTCTTTCTTTCTTTCTTTCTCCTCTTCCTCTTCCTTCCTAAGTTATTTTGCTGACTTAGACAGAAAACCTAACTGGCAGGCAGTTCTAGAGTGTGGAATCCCAACAACTAAACTGCATATTATTGTAAACTTTGGGGGGTAGGGAAATTAGAATTAAAAAATATATATTATACATACTGGCCAAACATACTGAAGCTGTATGTAGATTACATTCAAAGATGGTTTGATGGAATTGTCAGATTGATTGGACATATAAAATTGGGTGAGGCAACTTTGAATCTATTGAACAAATTACTAGAGTTTTTTTCCACACAGATGCAAAAATTGATCCAATTGAATCTTCAAATCCAATCTGGTGACTTGAATGGATGAAATCAGTTGCAAATTCAAATTGAGCCAGCCATCTGAATTTGAATCTGCACACACAGACTAAATTTTGAGTTTTTTCCCCCCTGCCTTCCTATTTATTCCCCACCTTTCTGTTCATAAAATAAAGTGCCTGACAGCAAACTTTCCAAAAATTACAGAAAAGAGCTTTGAGAGAAAAAGCTAAAAGCAAGATAAAAACCCATTAAATACACAAATAATTTATAAACACTTCTCAAGGGTTAATGTTTTATGGTTGCATGCTGTGATTTTCATTTTAAAAATCAACTGCTTATGGGAAATGACATTCCAGATCCAGCTAGGAAAATCATGATAGTGGTGGTGGTGGTGATGATGATGATGATGATGAAGATGATGAAGGAAGTTAACCCTTTATTGCCAAAACTTCTCCCGTCTCATCAATCGCATATTGTTAAGCTTCCATTGGATTCAGTGGGAAAATACCCCTTCATCCAGTTGGGAAAGCCCATAGGGTCGGGTCAAGATAGCTAGAAAGATTTTTAAAGACTCAAAAGTATGCCAAGGTCTCAAACTTTGGAACTGGAATAAAAGAAGGGTGCTTTTTTTTTTTTTTTTTTAAAAATCACTTTGCTTCAAGTGGAACATTCTTAAGCAGTCATCTTCCACTTGCCCTTCATGATATCATTGCTTCTGTTTTAGATGGTATGACTTCTTTGTTGGATCGTTTTTAAATACTTCCTTCTTCTCACCCAGATTTTGAAACTCCTCATTGTGGCCTGGGAACGTCGGCTCATCTTCACCATTGGGACCTCTAACACGACAGGTGAATCAGACACTGTGGTGTGGAACGAGATCCATCACAAGACAGAATTTGGGTCCAACCTCACCGGCCACGGGTATCCTGACCCAAACTATCTGGACAATGTCCTGGCTGAACTGATGGCTCAGGGGGTCTTGGAAGCCAACCTGAAGGATTGAGAAGATGTTTTTGGCCTCCACCCACCCAACGTTCCTCCTGCCTCCACTTCGTCATGTGCAGCGCAAACACTGCCTGTTTCTTCTCCATCTGTCTGTCCGTGTCTGTGTTTGCTGATTGGTGAGGCAACAGTGTTTGGGATGGTCCCTTCCATCTTCCCGCGTTGCTTTGACTAGCTTGACTTCTGACCAATCCATGAAGGATCCATAGCAGGATTCTTCTCTACATGATTTCTGGGTTCCTCCCAGAGAAACAGCCAGAAGCTTTGCGAGTGAGCAATCAATGGAAACCTTCTGCTCTTCTGTTCTTCTTCTACATATGTGTATAATTCTTGGCCATTCCCATGGGTGCAAGGGTCACTTCTCCAAACCATCCATCTTCAACTACCCAAATCTCACACACAGGTTGTTCTGCCTCCTTTTTTCTCTGCTCCTCATTTGTTCTGGGGTGCCTTGTGGCTCTGTCCAGATCAATGTTTCTCAACCTTGGGAACTTGAAGATACTTGAAGGGCTGGCTGGGGAATTCTGGGAGCTGAAGTCCACACATCTTCGAGCTGCCAAGATTGAGAAACACTGGTCCAGAGAACCAGGAAAGAAATCCAAATTGGGGAGCTAAGGAAGGCTGACATTGTGGCTTAACAGCGGGCAGAGTATTGTCAACCGGCTTTGCCATTTGCCTTCCATGCAAATAAAAGGAAGGTTGCTCATCCCAGTCTTTCTGCCCCCCTCCCCCAGCCTTGGAGGTATTCCCTTCACCAATGAAATGCAAAGTCTGTCCCCTAGTTGGTGATGTTTTTCTTTAAAAAGATATTGCAAAATGGGGGAGGTTTTTCTCATTGGAGCCGCAGCAGGGTGAAGATTGGAAAGTCCACAAGAACCTCTCCCTCCCCATTATCCACATAGGTTCCCCTGGTCAGCTGTTTGTTTAACACACACACACGTATTGCAGGATAAACTGGGTACTTGCTCCATTATATTCCACCCACAACAGTTAGATAGACAGGCCTTTCTGTCTGTCGGTCTTACATCTTCTTCCTGCCACCTCCCAATACACAGAAATACACAATTTGGGCCATGTCCTGGACCATTTTGGTGGTGATGGGAGAGAGCAACTCCTTTCTTCCTGCTGCCTCAAATGTCTGCATCTATTTCCCTATTCCACTTTTTTGGGGGGGTCTGTCATTGACCCTGGAGAAATTCCATATTCTGAAGCAAAGGAGAACGATTGTTCTCCCTGATGGTTTTTAGGGCCTTGAAAGCACAGTATCAGTCCATCAGGAGGTCTTGCCATGGATGGGGCTGGGGACAAGTGCCCTCCTTACTTCCCCCACCCTTACTGCTACCGATGAGATGCCACCCCCTGTCTCCCCTTGTTTGACACGAATGCGGCAATTCCCAATGCCTCTTGGGGTTCTCCTAGGTGAAAAGATGAAAAGAAGGCAATGTCTGTTTCTGGTTTGTTGCAAATAATACAACAGCCTGGATATGTCCTGGAGGTGAGGTGAAGACACCCCTTCTGGGCCAGCGCTGGTGAACTTTCTCTCCCCCACAATCTTATGTAGCATGTTCAATTTTATCCAGATATGAGTGCAAGACTGGGACAAGTTGCCAAAGATGATGGAAATAACTTAAAGGAGAAAATGTAACTTCTATACACAGCTTTGGTCCATATCAAGCAGATGCAATAACAACAACAATAATAATAAAAACGGGACGAAACAGAGCAAAATGTTATTGGCAGTGGTGTCACCAGGGCAGGAGTGGTCAACAAATTCTTGGGCTTTCCTGATTTTGAAATGTGAAAAGAAATCTATGCACGATCATCCAAAGCAGGAATAGACAGACTGGGATCTTACTGGCTGGGAAGACTTAAAAGTTGTTATCTTCATGCCCCTGACTCAGCGAGGGAGGGTGGTAGCTCTCCAGCTGGCATTTCTTCCTGTTTTTCAACTCCTTCTA